TTAAAATTGTTGGTGGAAGTGCCTGATTTGCAATATCTCCGGAATGGTTGGTGGTATCGTTGTGAAAATTGTTTTAGATTATTGGTGGCGATCTCACCTATCAGACTAAACAAACAAAATTTTAAAATTGTTGGTGGAAGTGCCTGATTTGCAATATCTCCGGAATGGTTGGTGGTATCGTTGTGAAAATTGTTTTAGATTATTGGTGGCGATCTCACCTATCAGACTAAACAAACAAAATTTTAAAATTGTTGGTGGAAGTGCCTGATTTGCAATATCTCCGGAATGGTTGGTGGTATCGTTGTGAAAATTGTGTTAGATTATTGGTGGCGATCTCACCTATCAGACTAAACAAACAAAATTTTAAAATTGTTGGTGGAAGTGCCTGATTTGCAATATCTCCGGAATGGTTGGTGGTATCGTTGTGAAAATTGTTTTAGATTATTGGTGGCGATCTCACCTATCAGACTAAACAAACAAAATTTTAAAATTGTTGGTGGAAGTGCCTGATTTGCAATATCTCCGGAATGGTTGGTGGTATCGTTGTGAAAATTGTTTTAGATTATTGGTGGCGATCTCACCTATCAGACTAAACAAACAAAATTTTAAAATTGTTGGTGGAAGTGCCTGATTTGCAATATCTCCGGAATGGTTGGTGGTATCGTTGTGAAAATTGTTTTAGATTATTGGTGGCGATCTCACCTATCAGACTAAACAAACAAAATTTTAAAATTGTTGGTGGAAGTGCCTGATTTGCAATATCTCCGGAATGGTTGGTGGTATCGTTGTGAAAATTGTTTTAGATTATTGGTGGCGATCTCACCTATCAGACTAAACAAACAAAATTTTAAAATTGTTGGTTGAAGTGCCTGTTTTGTAATGTCTGGGGGAATTTTTGTTTGATTAGATATTATATCGAGGAAAGTTGCATTGCTGTGGTTCGTCACTGAATTCTAATAGGCAAGACAATCATCCTGAACACTACAACTTATTAATTTAGGAAGAAACGTAAGTTATTTTGTATGTGGCGCCAATGGTACATTTGCTAAAACATAAACTAGCCGTGCAAAATCTCTCAGTATTATGAGTCGTATTTTCAGCAGTTAGTACATGATGAAATCGTCTGTTCATCAATGAGCAGCACCAGCGCGTACAAACAACCGGTTGAGCATCGTAAGTGGCTTCAGCAGTATGAGTAAGTAGCATCACTGAGAGAAGTACAATTAGCATTGTTCGTAAATGTAGAATTAGCAGTGCAAGTAATATACATTAGTCACACTAGATATGTACAACATTGTTAGTTCATAAAGCATACGTCCTTTTATTCGTGAGTAGCATTAATAATGTCATTGGTTTGTTGTGTATTTTAGTATGCTACTTAGTAACGCTTCCCAAGGAGTTTGATGTTATCGCTCGTGCTTCTGTATTTTTTTAATAAACGGAATACACCCATTAGGACATTAAATAAGAAAGATTAGTTCAGCGAAGAGTTCTCTTTTCGGCGAATTCATTTTCGAAGCTGCACAATCACAAATATATATACTTATTTTTTACTGGATGATAATAATACTGATAATAAACTTGTTATACATAGTGGTAGTGAGGTTGAATAAACAAAGGTATTAAAAATTTTTAAAACAAGGAAATTTTAATAATCGTTTGATTGTTAATGGCTTAGGTATTCACCAAAAGATAGATAAGGAAATTATCATTGGGAAAGGATGGCTCAGCATGATAAAATAAAATGTTGAAACAGGGATAAAATGTAATTGGAATGATCGTGGAAATAAAAACAAACCAGTTGGGGGTAGAAGATTTAAAGGGAAGATGGAAGGTGAAGCAGATGGTTGTAAAGGAACAAGAGTATGATAAAGAGAGAAAAATTTTAATACATCAAGACCATGGTAGAAAAAGAGGTTGTACACACAATTCTGGTTTTTCCAGATGTATGACTATTGCTTCGGCAATGCAAAGAAGATGCAGTCTAATTGTCTTAGAAAGACTTCTACATACCTAGATGACTTTGAACGCAGAGTCTGTCTTGATTGAATGACCTGTGTTCACAAGGTGTTCGATTATAGAACTTCTTATTGAGCCGTTGCCTCTTCATTTTAGCCACGCCGGATAATGTTCTTGAATTCTTTTGGATAAAATACGCACCGAACGACCTATATACCTAGTTTCACAAGAGCAGGTAAATGCAAATTGAGTTGGTCAGATGCGATAATTTATTTTTCAGATTATTGGTGAACAATGATCGGCTGGAGAATAATATTCGCAATGTTGCTGCGAAGAATGTTCTTTTTAAGGAATCCGAAATTCTCCTTTTTAAGATATGTGGCTCTATCAGCTTTGAAGTCGATGTTCATGTATAGTTCTTCTCTACTGTAATTATTTGTTTTTGGCGTTTTCGGCTTCATGTTACTATCAATGAATATCGAAGGATACCCCTCTTTGATAAGTAACACCTTTAAAAGGCCCGATTCTTCATCTACGACCTCGGGGCTACAGATTTTTCGTATTCTTGTAGCGAGTGTTATTTTTTTCGGCTGATGGGAACACAGCTGTAGAAATTTGATAGTTGGCAATTCCACATATATAACAAGTTTATTATCAGTATTATTATCATCCTGTAAAAATAAGTATATATATTTGCGATTGTGCAGCTTTAAAAATTAATTCGCCGAAAAGAGAACTCTTCGCTGAACCAATCTTTCTTATTTAATGTCCTTCTGGATTCTCGCGTAATAAACTTCCCTGTTCGCACTTCGACTTCTCTCTCTAGTTAGCGCGTCGGGGACGCAATAGAATAGCTATTTTATTGGTCACAAGTCTTTGTTCCGCTCGCAGTCTAAATGAACTCATAGTCGCTTCAAACCTATAGCATTAATAAAGATTATTAATGCTACTAACGAATAAAAGGACGTCTGCTTTATGAATTAACAATGAGCGTGACTACAATTTCTGGACGAACCAGATTTACGACAAGTCTTGGATTTCGGCGCGAAATCCACTCACTCATTTGGCTAAATAGTCTTGACATTATAGCTCATGTCAGTTCGTGATGAAAACCCCAAATATAATTCCTAACCCTCAACTGTAAATCATGATCCTTATTCTTCAAAGTGCCTTATAACCCTCATTTAGCCCTAGTAAGTAGGTAGACACTCACAAGGTCACTTCAGTGTTTCTCAAAAATCGTCCATAAATTATAGTCTCACCGTATGTAGCATCAGTTGAATAAGGAGTACAATTATTACATGTGCTACGAGTTATATCATTAATGCAGATAAGATAAGTAGCATTAGTTTCATTATTATTTTTAGTAGTGTAAGTAGCACTATTACTATAAGATGCATTAGCAGCTTGAGCAAATTCAAGAGTTTCCCTAGTATAAATAGTACAAATTACACCAACAGCATCCGTAATTCACGTAGTGTACCTTGTACTACATTCTAAGTGGTATTGGTAGTGTCAGTAGTACAGGTAGCACAAGTATGAAAACAACGATCAGGGGTGGCGTTAATTGCATCAGTAGCATTGGAAGTTGTTAAAAGTACTATACATAGTATTAGTTGTACAAGCAGCATTCGTGGTGTTAGTAGTATAAGCAGTTTGAGTGACAGTAGTAATACGAGTGGCAGAGACTTTGCTATCTCAACAGATTGGTCGGCCGATGCAGGTGGATCAATCAATCAAATCCATATGAGTCCGTAACATCATACATTTCATGATCAACACAGACTATTACATTGCCCTTTATGGATTAATAAGGATACCCAAAATCCGTTGAAGCGTAGGAAACACTACTGGGACTTATTCTTGTCAATAGGACACAGATCATTTGTGTGAATATAGAGCAATCCGGAATATGTGTAAAAAGCCCATAGCTAGATGCAGCACTACTTAGGACAGTTGACAAATGATAACCGTACCTACTACCTGAAACGACTGTTCTAATATATTAAACGAAGAACAAAGCGTAGTGACGGTATTTCTCCACTGCTGTTACGCGCAAATTTAAATATGCTAGCTAAATCAGATTTGGTAAGAGCCGAGATTCTGTCAAACTATCTCAACGAAGTCTACTTTACGGGTATTGTTAACAATACTTGTCATAATCACATCACTGATATACCAGTTATAGGATCTGTACCTGCGACTGGGGAAACTCTTCTTTAATTGATCATTAGCCTCAAACCTAGTAAAATACCGATCCCTGACGGGTTACATCCACGAGAGGTCATCTCGCATTGGCATAACTTGGATTCTTAACATGTCCTTAATTTTAAAAGTTGTACAGTTTTTCGGTTTTTTTTTTCTTTCTTTTTAAAAAAAACCTGTGCTGAGAATTCTATATTGTACCAAAACTATAATATTGAATAAAGCCATTAATAATAATTATTATTATTATTCCAATGCCACTCAATACGCTCTTCAAAATGTTCCGTCCCCACACTCAACTCCCTAGGCACTGAAAAGACGCTATAGTTAGTCCTGTAAACAAAGATGGTCAGAGACAGATCGCGTTTAACTACTGAACTGTCAGTCCCACCAAGCTAGTAGTTGAGTCACTTGAAAAGATAATTTGGGTTAAGTCACACAGAATCACACAATCTGATAATTACCGAGGAACACGGGTTTCGAAACAAACATTCATGCCAGACCAAACTAAGTATTGTAAGAAAGCATTGGATAGAAGCCCTAGATAAGCGTTGATCTGCTAATGTAATAAAGCAATTGACAATGTTTCCCACACAAGTGTTAGAAGAAGAGCTGGAGCTCCGGAATAAAAGGTGTTCTACAGAAATATATACGACATTTCTTATGACCCCTCATATATGGAGTGAGGGGTTAGTGGGACACTTTAATGGCACTATATCTGACTCCAGTAGGATTGTATGCTAACTGTTATTGAAATACATATGCCGGCTATCCTCGTATATTTCATCGACTTGAATCACGTGAGTAATGGAATTGAAAAAGCCAAATACGAGAATGGAGTTTGAATACATATATTTCACACAATCGTCGACCGGAACAGACAATCAGAGAAGCGCAGCAAAGGAAGCGAAGAGAGAGAGAAGCCAAACGAACCAGAGAAGGTAAGTGAGCCAACTCAATTTAATCAAGCGTTACTCAATATCTATATTCAAACAAAAAACAAGTTACAGACATATGATGAATGGGATAAGCAATCAACACATATGCGATCACATAAAAAGTCGGAATAAATAAGCCAATAAGTGACAGGGTCAAAATGTCGTTTAAGAAGAATGGACAGATTGGTATGTCCAGAAAATAGAACAACCCACGTGTGCATCAGAGTATTTGTGAGCCGTAATCAATGGGTCATGTTATGTGTGTCCACAAATCGGAATGCAAGGTCAAAGGTTATGTTTTTTAAACGACAGTTTTACAGGTAATAATGGTAGTGGTACAAATGGTAAGAATTGATGAAAAATGCAAATAATAACAAAACTAATTGTAAAAGATCCTACTTTTCGCTATTCCCTAGTGTCTGTAAACGAGAGAGAAGAATCTATGCATTCAAAAATAAAATCAAATTAATAGCACATTAATTTTAAAAATGTGTGCCTTCTGATGTGTATTATAAGAAAACGTCATACTTATGTAAGAAAGAATACATGTGTATCGTAAAGACGCGGACAAGAATTAAAATGATAGCATATGATTATGAGTAAGTTAACAAGCGTACAAAAAGATTAACATGAATTTACGTCGTGACTGTCTGGACAATAAAATAACACGTTCGCATGAGTGACTCGAAATACCATGAAGACAGAGTAATAAATCATGTATGGGTATGACAGCGTAATAATTCGTGAAAACAAGTAGAGCAGAATATAACAAATTGGTCTGTAGTGCCGAAATATAAAAATTGGGAGGACGGCCCACGGGTGAACCCGAGGAAGCTCAGAAAGAGCCGAAGATATTTCATCCAAACATCTTTTGGAAGAATATCCCAGAATCTCTGTGTAGCTTCCCAAAACAAAGATGACTATCTTTGTTCAATATTCGTTACCAAGGTCTTAAGTTAGCAAAAGCTGGAGACGATGACTGGACGCAACATGCTGGCATAGTAAATCGCGAGTTTCAAATTATCAACGATGATAGAAGACCCAAACGCCCGGCAACTTATGCAGCGCTACCTATTGTTGAACAAGAATTAAAGCGCCCGCAAAGAAGTGGAATCATAGAACAAGTGAACTTTCCTTATTGAACAGCACCAATAGTGATTGTTAAGAAGCTTAATGGAAGTATCCGGCCACGTGCAGATTATTCGACTGGAATAAACGAAGCCCTTGAAGTCCATTAGAACCCTGCCCGACCGAAGCTGCTACCTTGACGTGGTGGTCGGGCTTGCCTATCGTGATGAAGCAACCGGGCTATATTGGCTGGAATATATGTTCCTGTAGGTTCTACTATGCCAGGCAGGTCAATTGGAGAACGGTAAGACTAAAAGCAGCAACTCAAGGTCTGAGGGCGAAGTCGTACTGCTGACTGTAGAGGGGTGTGGCAACATTAAAGTGTTTCCCTCGGACAACCAGCATCTGCAGCGATTCTGCCTTCCCACAAGGAGGGGTGGGGTTAGAAATGGTCAACCATAAAAATGTCACATCTCGCCTTATTTCATGGATATCCGTCTCCGGCGGTAAGGTATTAACAAGTACGGAGCTAACACAAAAATTACCTATAACAAGGTCGTGTGTGATCGACCTCAAGCAGTTGTCCCTTGGGCACTGCGATCACGCCCTCAGGTCACTAAGACCACCTCTAATCGAATTTTCTTTTCACGTACCTCCAGAAGAACCCTTCCACGGTGCGGGCAGCCGGGAAGTGATAACCGCCCTCATACCTCTAACATCACTCAAGATCACTGTATTCATAATCAACCTCCGTCTTCAATTCCTATTATTCCTCCTACGTCGACTTTCAACTCTTAACTTCCTCTTTCGGCTTCCTCCTCATGTGTCACCATATCCAACGATTTTAGTGCTCGAAACACTGTCCCAAGTCTACTGAAACCTCGCTACAAACTACACATTGGAGCCTTCAACGTACGAACCCTATGTCAAATCGGTCAGCATGCTTCCTTGGCTAAAACGCTAGAATCTCGTACCATTGATGTATGCTGTGTCTCCGAAACACTCATACAGGATCCCAGTGTGGTCATTCACTTGACCTCACCTCGGCAAAACGGAGAGCCAACGAGACACACCCTCCATGTATCTGGTGACCCGATGGCCAGTCCTCGTGGACTGGCAGGTGTAGGCATAGCACTAAGCATGAGGGCGAAACAAGCACTGTTAGGGTGGATCCCCGTTAACAGTCGTTTATGTGCTGTTCGGCTAAACGGCTTCGTAAGAATTCGGAAGGATAGGGACACACGTTGTTGCCTTTTCGTCGTTTCTGCTAACGCTCCCACCGATTGCAGCTCGGATGAAGTGAAAGATGAATTTCACAGGAAGCTCTCTGGACTTCTTCAGAAAGCTAAACGTTCAGACATAGTACTCGTAGCAGGTGATTTTAATGCCCAGATAAGTAGTTTAAACCAAACAGAAAGGCATTTAGGTGGGTATTTCAGTATTCCGGCACAAGGAACAGATAATGGTGATCGTCTGCTGCAGCTGTGCTCAAACAATCGTTTATTTTTAGCAAGCACAAATTTTAAGCATAAAGAGAGACGCCGTCTAACATGGCGACTTCCTACACCAAACCAACGATGGACTCAAATAGACCATATTGCCATCAGTCATCAATGGAGAGGCTCAATAAAAGATTGTCGCTCGTTCTGGAACACCTGTTTGAACTCCGATCATGATCTAATACGAGCACGCATTTGCTTTCACCTCACTGGACGCAGGAAAACCACATTAGGACCCATTAGACTCGGACTCAGTGACGAGGAAGCTAAAAGTAGATTCCAGGAACGACTGAGGTCACAATTAGGTAGTTCTGAAAATGAGGTTGACCCAGATGTGGCTTGGAAAGATATACGAACAGCTGTGGAAACAGCAGCGACATCTATCAGTGATCTAAACCAAAGGGTTACGAAAAACCAATGGATTCCTACTAAGTCTATTGCACTGATAGATTCTCGTAAACTAATCCCATCAGGCTCTGAACAGGATGAAGAGCGAAGACAAATCAGATCTAGGTTAAACAAAAGTCTAAGGAACGACCGTGAGCAGTGGTGGGTAACGAAAATAAAAGAGATGGAAAAGGCGGCGACTATAGGGAACACAAGACAGCTCTACAGACTAATAAAAGAAACTGGAATTAATAAGTCAAGTGTAAGTCAGACTATTTCGAAAAAAGACGACACTCTCATCTGCTCCCAGTCCAAACGTTTAGAACGATGGGCGGAACATTTCAGAGAACAGTTCAGCTGACCTTCAGCTACTCTACAACCATCCTCCATTCCTAGACAGTGTGAATGGAACATTGAAGTAGGTCCCCCAACTCTAGCTGAAGTTCAAAAGGCTATGGTTAATCTGAAACGAGGAAGGGCGATTGCTCCAGATGGATTGACACCAGAGGTCTTTAAGAATGGTGGTCCAATTTTAGCGATTAGGTTGACTAATATTTTAGCTAAGATCTGGGAGTTGGACGTAACGCCATCTGACTGGTCACAATCATTGACTGCTGCAATACAGAAGAAGGGGTCAACATCATCCTGTGATTACCATGGAGGGATTAGTTCGACTAATTTAGCATCTTAAACACCAGCCTCAATAATTATCGGGCACCAAACTAAAACTCGTGAATTGCAAACATGAGGAAATCAGGCTGGTTTCAAACATGGTCGTGGCTGCGCCATAATAATAATATATATTGGCGCTCTCTTGCATCGACCACATATTCACCATTCGTCAGGTTCTAGAACACAGAAATGCTTATCGGCGTCCGACAATAGTGGTCTTTCTTGACTTAAAAGTAGCACTTGATTCTGTAGATCGAGAGGTTCTCTGGCAGTGTCTGTCATTGAAAGGCGTACCTCAAAAGTACATAAACCTTGTAAAGGCTCTTTACTTGAACACTACTAGTCGAGTCAGAGCTTATGGCAAACTGTCATCTGATTTCGCAACCTCAAGTGGTGTCCGTCAAGGCTGTCCACTTTCTCCATTTCTGTTTAACTTCATCATAGACCTACTGATGGAAATAATATTCTCGTCGACTGTATTCCCGGGCATTGATCTCTATCCAGGAGGTCCACTTGTCGACTTAGAATACGCAGATGACATAGTCCTGTTTGGTTAAGACGCTGACAAAATGCAGAGTCTTCTGGTAGCACTAAGCAACAATGCCAGAATGTTTGGAATGCGTTCTCTCCCTCGAAACGCAATTTGTTGCTTCAGGACTAGTCTGCGTCAACACCTGGACTAAGGATAGAGGGTGAAGTGTTCGAACGCGTCGACAACTTTACTTATCCTGGAAGTCTGATCAGCCCTAATGGGTTGGTGTCTGACGAAATCTCAGCACGGATGTGAAAAGCTCGCTTGAATTTTGCCAACTTACGTCACCTATGGCGAAGGCGAGATATCCGTCTATCAATAAAAGGACGAGTATACTGCGCGGCAATCCGTTCTGTTTTAATTTACGGAAGCGAAACATGGCCACTAACAGTAGAAGATACTCGTAAGCTACTAGTATTTGACCACAAATGCCTTGGAAATATTGCTGGCGTCTGCTGGGATCACCGGGTAAGCAATAGTGAGGTTAGACGCAGGGTATTAGGGAATGATGGTAAATCAGTCGATGAGGTTGTGAATCTTCATCGACTGAGATGGTTGGGCTACGTGTTGAGTGTGCCTGAACACCGATTACCACGACGTGCAATGCTAACCGGTGTTGGAGATGGTTGGAAGAAAGTTAGGGGTGGCCAAACCAAAACGTGGTATTAGTGTTTGAAGACACTAACATCTGGTCTGAGCCATGCTGGTAGATGTAGATTACTTGGTTGGGGTCCGCGTGACTATCGCAACCAATGGTTGGAGACTCTTGGTGACATGGCTCAGAACCAATCACAATGGCGTAGGTGTATACACTCTGTCTTCCCTTAAACTGTGAGATTAAAATCACTTCTTTTACGAACTAATTCTTTCTTCCTGTACTATATCCTTATATGTAATCTTCTTACCACAATTGATTTAATCACTCCTATGAATCCGATGTTCATCTTGCTGTGCTAATGAGATGTGGCAACTTGGACCGATGCATGTATGTGCTTGGTCCTACGTTGAAGCTGACTGACTTGTACGCCGTCTATTAAGCGTCTAAGCTCTAGATATAAAAAAGAATAGTTGAATGTGAACAGGTTCCAATAAGCTGCAGTAAATGGCGTCGATTAGCGGTTTGGTATCGGCATGGCACTGAGTTTATGTGTAATAAGTATAATCCAACAGTAAGATGATAACTGCATTGGTGGGTGATATTCGTTGCTGTACTGCAATCAATGATTATCATAAAATGCGAAGTCGGTGTACATCATCGTTCGTGTTGTGACCAGATGCATCCAGTCATCGTTAAACATGTATCAGTAGAGTGACCAGACGAACAGAATAGTGACTGCCGAGATGAGATACACGGAGTCGTATTCATTTTTGGTCGTGAAGTCTAGAGTGGTTTGTGTAGTTTGAAAAGGATACGTTCAACCTCATTTGTTACGAACCGTACTTAGGCATGACAAAATACCAATACATATGATTATCGATGACGGACGAATGAAACTACCTTGGATGTGACGAACAAGGGTGTATCCTTGAAAGAAAAGCTTCAAACTCTATGTTCTGGTATACAGTGAAACGGAAGTAGAAAGTTAATCGCAGTAATCAAGTAATGTTTATGGGTAATGAATGCTGTAGAACACAGTTATACATATGAACGAATAGACAAAATGAACATAACTGTTACTAACCGGCTAGTAGTGTTAAAGCTATCCACGGACATATTACGAGACAATATTTCAAAGAAAAATGTAGAGTATGATAACAAAGTCTCGATTATGTGAACGAGTGTAGGAGTGTGCCCCCCTAAGAAAACCACCTGCTTTGGTTTGAGCACCCAGGTAGTATCCCAGACCTCAAATAAATCGAAGGATTTGTGTGGTGCGTACGTTTAGTGCCTCCTTGTACCAATGTTTATGTGTTTAGATAAATAAATAAGAACGAGTGTAATGATAGGACGAAAAGAACACGAGAAAGATGGAACTTACGTAGAGTAGGAAATTTCGACGTCATGAAAAACACAAAGATAGTCTAGTGAGTCGCAAATGTCACAACGTGAATGGGATGCTCGTAAAATCATAATTAGATGAATGAGTGATATAAATGCATAAATGTCATAATATATCATCAAGATGAGCAGCAATAGTAATTCGACGTTTTGAGATAAAATGATACCAATGTGAGAATGAGTGTGACAGTGTTTATAATCACAACGGAATGATCCGGTAGATGGATTGGTGAGATGAGTTGACACAAGGACAAAATACCATCAAGATACGATTTGAGAATGTTCATGTCCCCGGTGTGCCGGCTTTGCTGAATGCGTCAGATTATAGATTGAGTCATTCGAGTTGCTCGTCGACAAAGGCAGCTGATTGGTCCAAACTCGGGCTTACCATATTTGTAATGGCATAAAGATATCATCGATGAGGTTGTCGATTGAGTAAGATCTGTTGAGTTCCTTCGTCAAAAGTATGTAGTGCAGAAAGTTCTACATAGACCTAGATCACTGAGTTAAATTCACGGTAAAGCTCATCACTTTAGGGGCCCTGTATCTGACTCCAGTAGGATTGTATGCTAACTGTTATTGAAATACATATGCCGGCTATCCTCGTATATTTCATCGACTTGAATCACGTGAGTAATGGAATTGAAAAAGCCAAATACGAGAATGGAGTTTGAATACATATATTTCACACAATCGTCGACCGGAACAGACAATCAGAGAAGCGCAGCAAAGGAAGCGAAGAGAGAGAGAAGCCAAACGAACCAGAGAAGGTAAGTGAGCCAACTCAATTTAATCAAGCGTTACTCAATATCTATATTCAAACAAAAAACAAGTTACAGACATATGATGAATGGGATAAGCAATCAACACATATGCGATCACATAAAAAGTCGGAATAAATAAGCCAATAAGTGACAGGGTCAAAATGTCGTTTAAGAAGAATGGACAGATTGGTATGTCCAGAAAATAGAACAACCCATGTGTGCATCAGAGTATTTGTGAGCCGTAATCAATGGGTCATGTTATGTGTGTCCACAAATCGGAATGCAAGGTCAAAGGTTATGTTTTTTAAACGACAGTTTTACAGGTAATAATGGTAGTGGTACAAATGGTAAGAATTGATGAAAAATGCAAATAATAACAAAACTAATTGTAAAAGATCCTACTTTAACTACCACCCTACAACGCTGTCTGAATAGAAACTGGTAAAAATCGGCGTATCTCAAGGCACCCCTATTTTTTCTTCTCTACGTCAATGAATTACCACTATTTCTTACGTCGTCGACATTGTTTTTTTGCGGAAGATGTCAAATTCTGGATTAGTAAGATGGCCTCAATTTTGAGGCTTCTAAATTAATTCTAGGAAGAGTGTGATCATGCACATCGGACACAATAACAGTTACTAGTATATTATCGACGGCACATCTCTTCCATGAGTGCAGGAACATAAAGGCTTAGGAGTAATAGTAAGTCACGACTTGAAAACAAGCAAGAACTCCAACGCAGCAGCTGCCAAAGGTTTTCGTGCGTTATGAACACTTCACCGAGCATTCAAGTGCTTTGACGAAATGTTTCGAATTTTATATACTAGTCGTGTAAGATAACAAATAGAATACGATAATCACAAGGAATCCAAGCAAGTATCCTATAACACAAAAACATTCTCTTTATGGTTTGTAATCCACGAACAAGTTAATATCAATTACCCATGTAATGTCTTACTTTACTCTACAAACTAAAAGGCATCATGTCTAATTATCACACACAAAATAATGAGTCAAGACAACTAGTAAGAAATTATTTACAGACCTTACTCATTCAAGTCGTTAACGAAAGACTTAGTCAATATCGGGCATGTTCAAATACATTCTCGTTGCTATCAATCTAGATACGACAATGGCGACAAGTAACTTCTGATTATTATTGCTTAATCAATAATACCTAAATTCATGACAAGTGACCCATTCATGTATGATTCGCCGAATCCGTGTGATCATACCTGTGAACCTGAAACAATACGAGAAGTTTTACGAACAATATCACCAAAAATTGCTCTTGGGATCGAAATTGAGAATAAATACATCATACATATAGATTTGGTTTGGTAGAAATACTAATTTTTTCTCAATGTTGTAAATTAACAGACCAATAACTCAAGAACTACCATTGTCAGAATGTACGTAACGAAAGTCCTCATCACTCAATGATATTAGTTGAGTATCCATCAAAGGCTAGAGGGACAATGGCCAGCTAGTTCGCACTCTACAGTCGGGGTGACCCAGTAGTTAAGGCGTTCAAATTACGGTCACTATGTCCCAGGTTTGAAAATCGCTTTACTCACTTCGGTATGGCCAACTGGTTAGTATCATTAACCTTCCTAATTACGGTGTCATTCATACCCAAATACTTAGTGGGTGCGCTATACGATATGGGGCGGACAAAAAATACAAATACTCAGACGATAGCAGTCTTATCTCACAGAAACATGCGGAAAACTAGATTGTAATAACATGCGAACATAAATATTGATATATTACTTACAAGTAATTGGTGACTGCGCACTAATGAGGTAAAGGATGGGTCCAAAATCAGTACATGGAACGATGACTCAAAAATATGTGGATACTTTTTAGCTTGATGTACATCTAGCCAGGTAGCGTTGAAATGTGAATTTTGTAAATTTATGTAGCAGAAATTTTGGAGACCACTTGATGTGGCAGCAAATTGAGGGAGAACAAAATGCAACACCTCCGACGAGCGATAACTAGTGTACAGTACGAAGTACCCAAGGAAGTGACGAATTAACTTAAACAACAGTATCTAGACAACGATGATTATGGGTGAATTAAACTGGCAGACAACGTGAAGAATAACTGAAATCATTTATAAACGTAGCCAACATTAATCAGTCCACTTGCAGACTATCTTGATCATAAAAATACGTGTAAAGGACAGGGGCTGTCAAATTGGAAAATCTTGTATAGGTAGGTTAACTGTTCATTCACGTGGGGGCTCACACAGACAGACTGGAAGCAGAAGCCCACGCGATTTAAACTGAAAGCATAGACTTCTTATACATGAACTCCGTGGTTTTACCAAATAAAATGGATGAGCTGCGTGAACTCAATAACGCTAGCAATGCTCAACTGATGGGAATATCTGAAACATGAATATCTTCTCAGTTTACGAACCAGGAGCTGGCACTGCTTGGGATGTCTTTGTTTCACAATGACAGAAAAACAAAAATTGGAGGTTGAGTAGCCTAATGCTTACTATCCTGCCTGGAGGAACATCAAATGCACAACCAAAAGTTTATCAATCTTGATGAATCCATGTGGTGCTCAGTAAGATTGTTTACCAGCTCGAGGAGTCTAGTTTGAGTCATCTACAGGAAGCCCACTATCGACATCGAGTTTGGCAATCGTATGCTGGAAAGACTATCCTGCCCAACTCGTCTAGGATTCACTCATATTCTGATTCTAGGGGACTTCAATCATCCTGAAGTCAATTTTGCAGAACACGTATTTTGGAGGCGGAAAATCTACTGAAGCTCGGTTCTTCAACCTCATTGAGGGTCTGAGATCATTCGAAAATATGAAGTCGGTAACTCGTTAGTGAAACAGTCAGATGCTATCGCCCTTAAACTGTGTATTTACTAACGAAGAATTCTAAACTGACAACCTCTCAATCCTGGTTCCCCTGGGGGGAAACGATCACGCCCTCATAGACTTTAGTCTTATCGGCGAAACTGAGCTAAGACGTCGCACCAACAACAAGCGCTGGAATTTCAAACTGTTGAATGTGTCAGCTTTCCAGGACAATCGACAACAGATGGATTGTAAAATTCACCCTAAACTTGATGTCGATAGGTCATTGAGATTTCTTATTACACACCATCTTATGTTCCACAAAGCAGTCTGTTCCTCAAATGGTACTCAAAGACCACAAGTGACCTACAGTCATCAAGAACCGCACTCTCCGTTTGCTAAGACGCAAAGGGCATTGTTGGGCGGAATACAAACGAACTGACAACAACGGCGCGTACAGGCAATACGAACGTATAAAGAACATATGCACAAAGGCAATAAAAGAGGGCAGGCTTCAGTACCAGATAAAGCTCATCGATAAATTTGTCTCCAATCCGACGAAGCTTATTCCGTTATGCAGCCTCTATTCGACAAGCCAAAACTGGAGTTTCTCAACTATTAGGTCCTAATGGCCTGACCAATAACAACGGTGAACAGTACTCTCGAACATTTCAACCGACCTACATTAACTTCATAGGACTTTCCGAAGTGAATATGAGCACAGACTTGGTGTACCGGAAACTGGAGCACCTAAAATGATCACTTCTGATCCGCATTTGGTTGGTTTTGTGATACCGAGGGAAGCGGATTCAATCCTGGCAACACCGCTCAGCGTGATATTATCACACTCACTGAGCCGAGGCACATTAATGGAAATTCAACATCTGAGTGGAAGCACGGAATAAAATGGACAGTTCAGAACCAATTAGACGATTTGGACTTCTCAGATGATCTAGCCCTCCTATCCCATACACACAAACAAATGCGGATGAAGACAACTAGTTTAGCAACAGCCTCTGTATCAGTAGGCCTCAATATACACAAATGAAGAAACAAGATCATCAAATACAACACAGAGAACACCAAAACAATCACACTTGATGGTGAAACTCTGAAAGATGTGGAATCCTTCAAGTACCTGCGAAGCATCATCGATGAACAAGAAGGATTGGATGCAGATGTAAGGGTGAGGATTAGAGAAGTATTGGCCCCATTCGTACAATCAAAGGACACATGCAACTCAAAACAACTGTCAACCAAAAGTCAGAATCTTCAATACGAATTGCCCAGGATCGCCCAGAATAGGGTTGGATGGAGAATGCTGGTCAGCGGTCTATGCTCTTCCACGAGGATCAACAGACGTAAGTAAGTAAGTAGGTCCAAGAAGAAATACGTACGTGTTAAGAAGTGCTAAAAACATGGCAAACCATTCAGTAAATGGTTAAAATTGCCTGGATTATTTTCGAAATCTAGATTAATCCGATAGATTTGACGTATCAAGAAACTGACTGCGACAAATAGTATAGACCGAACAGGAACCAGATTAAGCAGGCAGTAATGCGACTAATTCCAGAGAGATTGAATCCGTTGACCTTTTGTCATTTGATTGATTCAGTACAAATCCAAGAGTCCAGATAAGCACTTGGCTTTCACCGTATAAACTATCTGGAATGAGATCAAGATTGTAGGAACTTCGTAGTTTAAACACACTGAGTTTTGGAACTCCGAAATCGGAAATCAGACAGAAAGTGGTCGGAAGAAAAGATATTACATGATAGTCCATAGTTTAAAATGGAGTGATGAAACAAGATGAAGAATTAGATCCAGACAACGATTCAGTCCTTGTTTACAACTTACATAATGTCTTGCTCACTGAGGGAAGCGGCTTTAATACTGTCAACATAGCGTGATGTTATCATACTCACCGAGCCAAGGCACATTAATGGAAATACCAAAGTTGGCTCACATCACACCAATTTTCAAAGGAGGTCTGTAGAATTATGGTCTACTATGATATAAGTACTGCTCTAATAATAGACCTAATTCTAAAATTGTAGATTTGTCATGATATAACTGTCTAATCTAGAAGATCTTACGTGGAAGTCACATCATCGTCTACACCAGCTCACTGTATCGTAACAACTACCAATACATGATAGAGAACAAGCATAGGCTAGAGATAGAGCAATATATTTAATGTGAATAAAAGATATAAGGTAACATT